TTCATAAGCAAATCCATGTACTGGATTTGATGACTTAGGACTGTATTATTACATTTAATCATATTGTGAAACAAAGCTTTACCATATTTATCTATGTCCCAAACTATATAATCATATTTTCATAATTTCACATGCTCTAGAATAAAGCTGCCAAAGATCAAGGTTCATTATCAATAAGAGATCCTTTGATTATTACGAAGAAAATATCCATGATGCTCATATTTACTCATATAACTTTCAATTAGTTGTGTCAATATTTCAGTTTTAAACAGAATAAATACTTTTTAAAATTCTCCTTTTCTAAATAAGCCTCTTCCCCCAAGTTGAGACACATCTGCCACTTTCAAACTTTTGGTGAAAAGACTATTGAAGAGTCTACAATAGCAGTGTGTAATTTTCGTTACCCCAAGGAAGTACTTACTATTTTTTTTTTAAGCAGGAAGGATACTTTTATGACTTCCAAGTCAATTCAAATGAAACTCTTATTGTGAACCTGATTTGTGCTTTGGGTAAAATAAGGGTTCATTAGAAGATAGAATTCCAAATAAACTTCAAGTGACAATAACTTTAAAATGGACCTTTTCCATATAACAGAAGAAAAAAGTAGTCTCTGTATTCAGAACAAGTCACTCCGATCAGCCTAATTACAATGGACATTGAGACCAAGGACGAAGAAGAAACGTCCCAAAGCTCTATTCTACCCCAGGTTTGTTGCTAATTCAGGGACGACCCATAAATGTTCTTCCTCTTAAAACTTAGCACTGACCCCTCGAGTCTGACAACCCATAAGAAACAAATGCGGAGAAGTTATAACTTTTCAAAGTTGGGGGAGGGAATGTATGAGAACTGACACGCTTTGCCCTCTGAAATACTTCACATTTACTTTTGACAAAATAAATAACTGGAAGCAAAACCGAGATTCAGAAGGAACTTTGCCGCGTGCACCCGCAGAGCTCCTCAAAGACCCTTCAAGAAAAGTGTGCTGGGGGCTCACCTTCCATGTCGCCGCCGGGCTCCGCTGGTCTGGAGCAGCCGCTCTCGCTGCCCGGCCGCTCCACGTGCTCCTGCCGTCGCCGGGACGCAGCACGCAGCTGGCGGGAGATTCCTGACTCGGGGAGTCCCCGGGATCTGGCCGCCGCGTCGGCGCAGATTGAAGGGGCCCCCGGAGCCAGCGACCCGGTCGGTGGTGCGCTGGGTTACAGCGGCGCTGGCTGGCGGTGACTTTAAAGGACGCTCGAGTTCACCGCCGAGCGCCGTAGGTTTCCGCACCTTCAGCCGGTTTTGAACGACAAACTTGAGGAACCCCGATAGCATGGAAGTAGCGCATCTGTGAATGTCTCAGAACGTCTATTTTTGAAGGATAACGGACGAGAGAGTAAAGTCACATGGAGAGGGTGTCTGCTTTGCTTTCTTAGCCAGCTCAAGTTCACAGAGGTTGTGTTTTAAATTGAAAGACCCACATTTATTTATTTATTTTTGTCTAGATGCAGGGATGATAGCTTAAAAAAACCCTCACTGAGAACTTTGTTTTCCTTTCTGGGAACTATTTGGTTTGTTTGCCATTACTCATAAAATACTTATACATATTTATTTTCTACTACCCTGCCTCCTCCTAAATAGGACACTTTCAAAAATACATATATAATGTATCAGAAAACTAAGTAAAGAAAGTGAAGAGGGAGTGGTGAGATAGTAAAACTAACTGAAAGATGTTAGTTCACAGAGATACCATTCAATATTTTTCCCCAACATCCTCCCCACTTTATAGATATAAAGCATATATCTGACTGTAGGGAGAAGAAAAGGGAAGTTTCCTTTTTCCTTTTCCTCTCCCTTAGAGTAGTAATGTGTTCCACTGTTGCATATTAAGAATGCCTTTATGGAAAATAATAAAACTTTAAAAATAAAAGGTAACTTTAACCACTCACCAAGATCTTAAGGGACATTATTTAGGTGAGTACTAACAATGATCCCCAATGTGTTGAGTGGACAATATACAAATGATTCCACTGCCATCCTTGGTAGAAAATCATATTGTTGCAATATACAAATATATTTGAGGGCTGGGGTTGTGGCTCAGAGGTAGAGCCTTGCCTACCATGCGTAAGGCACTGGGTTCAATCCTCAGCATCACATAAAAATAAAATAAGGATATTGTGTCCACCTATAACTAAAAAATAAATATTAAAAATATATTTGAGACTTAAAGTTGAGGATTTTTACATTAGCTAACCATATCAAAAGAAACTCATGTTTAGGAGTTAAAATATACATACTGTATGCTTATGAATTTGTTTAAATAGCCCCTTGGTATAGATGGTCTGCACTATTTATATATTTTTAATTTTTTAAAACTAAGCATCTAACTTGTACTTGCTTTAAGATCACAGCATCACAGTAGCATCTCTATAGTTATGAGTTGGAGTTCTGCAGGATAATATCAATTTCAGAGAAATACTCTAAACACTAGGTTTAATTTTAGTACTGAAAGGGGAAATTTGTTGTTTGTTAGTTTCTAAAAGCAAAAAATAGCACATCAAAATTAGCAGAAGAGGAACTGTAAACTTTCACAGGGATGGTGTCAGGATGAATTGTTATTTGGTTATTAAAAAGTTACAAAGAAACTTTTATTATCATCTATAACAGTGTTCTTGCTATCTAACAATGGAATGCACGGCTACTCTGTAAACATTTAGTTAAGTATTGAGTATTTTAGACTATACAGTATATTTAAAGGATAAAAAATGGATAAAATAATTTATGTAGCTACTGCATCCTCAAGGTGGAGCATAAATCCCACTCTTTAAGTGTAGCCTGCACATAGTGTCTTCTTTCCAAAAATTACAGAAAGGGGAAAGGGAGTAACTTTAAAAAAAAAAAAAACATTTTTAGTTGTAGGTGGATACAATACCTTTATTTTATTTTTATGTGGTGCTAAGGATCAAACCCAGTGCCTCACACATGCTAGGCAAGCGCTCTACCTCTGAGCCATAACCCCAGCCCAGGGGGTAATTTTTTAGTGGAAAAAACTGACAAAACCCTACCTTTGCCAGGCAATCAAGGTTAACATCAACAGTGGTAAGGCAGGTTACAGTATGTATCCTTGATAAGATGTAATGTCACATAATTTTACCTCTGTGGTCTTCCTCTCAAAACCCCACAATCCTAGTCTAATAAGAAAAACATCAGACAATTTCTAATAGAGGCTTTCTACAAAATACTTGATCACTTAAGTCCAGGTCAAGGTCATCAAAAACAAGAAAAGTCTGAGAAACTGTCAGAGCAAAGGAAAATCTAAGGGGACATGACACTGAATGTAGTGTGAGATCCTGAATGGGCCCCTGGATCAGAAACACTGAGGTTAAAAACTAAGGATATCTGAATCAACCATAAACTTCAGTTAATAGTAATGTATTGATTTATTGTGTGGAAATATACTATACTAATGGAAGATGTCAAATAACAGGAAAAACTGGGTGAGGATACATGAAAATCCTACACTATCTTTGCAATTTTTCAGTAAATGGAAAACCTCTAAAATAAGTTTATTTTAAAAGAGTGGATGGGTACTTTCAACAGACAACTAGCACACATTTGAAGAAGACTTAGCAGAGCCACCCTGTATTGCATGGATATCACAAGATCAATTACTTTATGGTAAGTGGCAAGTCAGTAAAACACTGTGGATATATAATGTTTGATTAAAACTGGAATGACAAACTTCTAGGGAACCGAATACCTAAATTTGTCTTCATCATCATCACCTTAAAAAGGGAACAGTTGAGACTAAACCATGAATCTAGACACGGCAACTGACAATGGGTGGATCTGACTCATTGAATCACATTTCATGGCTTAGTCTATGTAGGCAAAATTAACAGTGACTAAAAATGAAATTACTGACAAAGGTTGCTCCTGGACCGTCTGAGAGAGTCCAAATACTGACTCGGCTCTAGGGAAATAAAACTGAAAACTCTTGATCTCACCCAAAATAACCATTCTGCACCCTGTCTGAACCTTGGGCTCTCTACCTACTCAAAACCACTACTGAGGGTGGCGTCCCGCTGCTAAGAAGTAGATAACACATAGGGCCTTTCGGGCCACAAACCTAGTAGGCAAGAAGGAACCATGGACGACGTGGGCGCCATCTGTGGTGGCACTCTCTGGTATTGACTTATCATCCATCCCCTCCGGAAAAGCACAGTTTGGGCTCGTGACTTTCAGATTGGGCCCATTTTCTTAAAGTTACTTCCCAATGGATGGGGGGGGGGGGGGGGGGGGGGGGGGGGCTATCTCCACCCCATCTCCTACTTGAAGCTGAAAACCAAGAGTCAACGTTACTGTGTAGGGAAAGGCCTGGAGGCGCCTTGGTGCACTAGTGTTTCTTCCAGGTCTTGGTTTTGTGGACAGAAAGCAGTTAGGGAATCACTGGTAGTGATTTTGAAGGAGACTGGACGCAGAGTTGCAGACGCAGTTCATGGGGAAAGGGGCACATGAAATTCCTACGCGGGAAGCTGTTTTGTTTGTGTGTGTGTGTGTGTGTGTGTGTGTGTGTGAGAGAGAGAGTGAGAAATTAATTCTCCCAAGCTTCTCCCTTCCTCTGGTCCTCATGTGATGGTCCTCAGTCTACGGAAATCCCCAGCCCGCAGAGCCCTGAATTCGTTTTCCTCGCTCTCGTCTTCGCTTGGGAGCCGAGAGCGCGGGAAAATGGCGCCAACACGAGGCGCGAAGGGCAGCACGACCGCCGCCGCCGCCGCACGTGCGCCAGGGGCGGGGAGCTCTCCTCCAGCTCACTCGCCCCGCCCCGCGCACGCGCGCTTGGAGCACGCACGCGTCTTCCGGTGGGGGCTGCTTCCGCGGTAGCGACGGACGGGTAGAGTCGGCGACACAGGCCGTTTGCTCCGCTGCGTGGCGGAGCGATGGGAAGGTACTGGGCAGGGGCTGAGGTAGGAAGGAGCCCATCTGTCGACGCCTCCCGCCACTTTAGCCCCTGAGCCGTGATGCAAGCGTGGGCCCTTCTCTCTGCGGTGCTCTGGTACCTCACAGGAGGTGTGAATTGTCCCACCGTGCCCCCAAGTCTCTCTGCCCGAGGTTCCCAGTCCTGCCTCCTTGGTTTCGCCCTACCCTGTCCCACTCTGAGCCCTGGCTCCTTATCTAACTAAAAAGTCAGTGGTTTCTTTCCTCCGCAGTTGGATGCCAGCGTTCATCCTTACTCAATAAGAAAGGCTTCGTTTTTGGCAAGATAGGACACCCAGGTAATAAGGACCTCTTCTCACGGACGGCCTTTCAGAAAAGTCCAGGATGCCATGGACCTGCTGGGGTTGTTCCCGCAGAGGAAAAGGGTGCGAACGTGCACTGTGCATCTGCCCTGTGCCCTGCAGTTCGTGAAGATTGCATCTTTTCATCCTGAACAGCGACCCTAGCTAGTTGTATCGCCTTGCCTAGAGCCGCACAGCTCTTAAGGAGCCAGGATTCAACGCAGATCTCTTGCTGCGATGGCATCTCACTTCCAAATGGTTCTGCTGCTTTGCAACGTGGGAACCCCACCCACAGGGGTGATTTCCTGGGCTGGAAGTCGCTCTGTCTGTCGTCCCTCCCCTTGTTAAGTAGATCTCCTATTCATCCATTAAGGGATTAACTCAAATGTTATTCACTGTGGTGTAACTTTACCATACTCCCCAAGGAAAGCTAGTCACCCAGCTACTTTGAGATAACTGGGCCTGTTCACAGTATGTCATGTTTGAACCCTCTCCCTCAACACCACCACTACCACCAAATTATAGGATAATGCCTTTATATATTCAGGGCCTGGCATTCAATAGGCTTTAAAATTAATATCTTGTGGGACTGAATTCCAAGCATACTGTCATATTATCTGAATCAAAATGCGTAATTGCTGCGGGGCCTGGTGGCACACGCCTGTTATCGGGAGACTGGGGCAGGAGGATCATGAGTTCATAGCCAACCTCAGCAACTTATCAAGACCTGTCTCTAAATAAAATATAAAAAGAGTTTGGGGATGTGGCTCAGTGGTTAAGTGCACCTGGGTTCCATCCCCAATACAAAAGAAAAGCAAAAGAAACAAGCAAAAAACATAATTGCAGAACACTGTCCTAGAATGCTTCCTATGGGCTTAATTACTGTGCCCAACAAAGGAAATTTACAGTGAAATACCAGGTGTCCCTTAGAAATGATATCTTTAAAATAATTTTGCAGTGAATTCAAGGCTTTCTCTGGACTTTAAATTGATTCCATTATCCCTTAAAAAATTATGATTTTAGCCCAGTATGGTGGTGCACGCTGAGGCAGGACGTTCACAAATTCAAAGCCAGCCTCAGCAACTTAACAAGGCCCTAAGCAACTTAGGGAGACACTGTCTCAAAACAAAAAAATAAATGGGCTGGGGATATGGCTCAGTGGTTAATCGCCTCTGGGTTCAATCCCTGGTACTGCACCCCTAGCCCTGAAAAAATTATTTGAGCAGCAATGTGTGGTGATCCATGTGTGCTGTAATCCCAGCACTGAAGAGACTGAGGCAGGAGGGTTACAAGTTCAAGCCCAGACTGGGCAATTTAGCAAAACCCTGCCTCAAAAGTAAAAAGGACTGGGGATGTAGCTCAGCGGTAGAGAGCCCTGAGTTCAATCCACAGTGCCCTAAAAAATTTTTATGATTTCAGTGAGTTCTGAACCTGTACATCCAAATGACTTTCTAAATGTCTTATGTAAATAGAATAAGAATATCATGGCCCTAACAGTCTATAGAGTTGTTAAAACTTACCATGAGAAGCAAGGAGAAATTCAGAGTACCATCCTAAATGCTATAATCACTGATTTTTTTTTTTTTTTTTTTTTTTTGGTACTGGGATCGAACCCAAGGGTGGTGGTTAACCACTGAGCCACATCCCCAGCCCTTTTTAGTATTTTATTTAAAATACTAATTTAAAATGCTAAGTGCCTAGCTAATCTGCTGAGACTGCCTTTGAACTCTGAATCCTAATTTCTCAGCCTCCCAAATTGCTGGGATTACAGGCCTGTGCCACTGTGCCAACTTTATAATCATTGATTTTTAAAAGTCTGAAACCACCAGGCATGGAGGCCCACAGCTGTAATTCCACAGCTCAGGAGGGTGAAGCAGGAGGATGGCAAGTTCAAAGCCAGTCTCAGCAACTTAGTGAGGGCCCTAAGCAACTTAGGGAGATAACTGTCTCAAATTTAAAAAAAAAAAAAAAAAAGGACTTAAAAAAGAACAAATTAGTATCCTTGGTATGAGTGTATTTTGTAGTTTTGCTATATAATGTAGTTATACATTATTTTATTTTGTCACAGTGAAAATATATGTAAAATTACATCAAAATAGCCCAGTCCTTATCTGTATGGATTTGAATCGTGCTAATACAGAAACAGTGGATCCCACCTACTTATGGATTGGGCCAAAGGAAAAGACATTAACAGGTAAATTATTTGATTTTAATATAATTTTAATGATGTGAACATTGTTTTTAAAAAGCACTGTCATTTATTGAAAAGAATAAATTTAGTTTTGACTACAGTTTTTACCTTGCCCTACACTTGGATAAATAGTGTTATATGTTAGTCTATGCCTTAATTTCTCCAAAATCTGAAACAGTATTTTTTTTCTTATTTTTCATGGTGTTGGAAATTGAATCCAGGGCCTTTATACATGCTAGGCAATGCTCTTTCACTAAGTTACATCAACAGCCCTTGAAGCAGTTAATTTTGTATCCTACTTCTGAGCTATATTCATTCAAATATCTTTATTTTATCTTTGTACCACCAGTAATATGAGATGAGATATTTAATAGGTAATTTTTCATGATGTTAGAAGAGTGCCTTTGGATATAAGTATTATTAATTAATTTGGCTTATGTGAAGAAATTATATTTCATTTACTGAATTACTGGCATAAACTAATTGAAACTAGATGCGAAGAAGTGAATCAAAGTAAACCAATATACATTTCATTTCAAAAGTGTACTACTTATGTGGCTTTTCATAGAGTAATATGATAGAATTAAGATTTTGTTAGATTCTTGGAGTTCAAATAAACCATTAGTTTTTTTAAGTGTCTGTGTCTATTTGTAACCCAAATTTACTAAATAACTTTTGATTGTTATCTGTTAAATAACCAAATAATTTACTATTTCTGCATAGACAATAGTCGAATAAGTATAACAGAAACGGGAAAGCTAATGGTGAGAGATTTTCTGGAGCCTTTGTCTGGACTTTATTCATGTACTCTTTCTTATAAGACTGTCAAAGCAGAAATCCAAGAAGAAACTACAATAAAGAGGAGATATGAATTTATGATCTTTGGTGAGAATGAGCACATTTCAATTTATATATTTAGTTTGAATCAGAATTAAGTATAAGACTTCTTCATTTAGTGAAAATGAATCTGGTATAGGTAATCATTATGATTTATGGATATTTTGAGGTGTGTTTAATTAGGTAAACTCAAATTAACAAGTTTATCCTAAATAACTCTCTTTTAACTCCCTACTTTCTACTACCTAGGTATGTAAGTACAAACTACTTTATCCAGGTATTTTTCCAGGTAATTTAAAAACTGATATTCAATTCTATAACAGCAATGATACTTTCTGCAAATGAAGACCCTCCCCAAAAGCAATCTTTTTTTTTTTCTTGATGCTCTTATCTATATAGGCAACCCACAGAAGCCATTTTTCTTCTTCTAAGTAGATAAATATCAGATGAAAATAACTTTTTTTTCAGTAAAATTATTCGTTTTATATGTTTTGTGAGGACAAATTGTTAAAGCATTTTACTAGATAAGGTTTCTATGTTTATTTGCAATATTGATGGGATTTAATATTACATGTTATTTGAAAAATGTTTGATAGAACAATTAATGCTAGGCACAATTGTTTTCATTCTCATCTTTTTTCAAAGCCTATCGGGAACCTGATTATTCATATCAGATGGCTGTACGTTTTACTACAAAGTCCTGTGTAGGAAGATATAATGACCTGCTCTTTAGAGTGCTGAGGAAAATCTTGGATAATTTGATCTCTGATTTGTTGTGCCATGTTGTAGAACCATCATATAAATGCCATTTTGTTAAAATTCCAGAACATAGCCTTTTACATGAGCTGTTCATAGCTTTTCGAGGTAAAAACAAATTTTAAAACATTTCTTTAATTTTATGAGTTTAGTCCTGAATGATTAATTATTGCATGAATATGAAATATCTTATAAATAATGAGTTTTAAATATTTGTTAAACACTAAAATATATTGTTGCCTGGTTATGGTTTTAAAAATTAGCATACAAGTTATTTACCTTCAAATATGATATATTTTTGCTTGTAATTTAGAAGTCAATATCAATTAATTATCATAGCGTTTAATTATATAATATTTTATTTGTAACTTCTTATAGAATTTTTAATTGTATTTTTGAGCATTTAATAACAGGGAGTAACCAAACACAGGCTTTTTTTTCCTATTTTTAAAAATTTTTTTACTTGTAGTTGGACACAATACCTTTATTTTTATTTATTTATTTTGATGTGGTGCTGAGGCTCAAACCCAGCGCCTCCCACTGAGCCACAAACCCAGCCCATTTTTTTCCCCCTGTTTTAAAGCCTTGTAGTTACTTCCATTAGCCCCCAGATGGAGTAAAGTCATAATGTATAAATTATTCAAATTGTACATCTAACTTTACTACTAGGACTAGATAGCTAGATGAAGTGAACATGGGCTTGCATACTAAATAAAGTACTTGGGGCTTTATTGAAATGTTTGGAACCGTTTAGAATCCTTTTGTGAACCTATCGTGTTTTCCTCCCCAGTTGATCCTTTTGCTCCAGGGTGGAAAAGTGCATGCAATGATAGTGTTGACTGTGAAGATATCACTAATCGTAATATCCTCAAGGTGAGAAATTCATCACAAGGAAAAAGAACTTGAATAGTCAGTAAAGCTATTTAAAAATTTTGTAAGCCTGGCACAGTGGTATATGCTGGTAATCCCAGTTACGTGAGAGGCTGAAGAAGGAGGATCTCAAGTTCAAGGATCTCAAGTTTAAGGCCAGCCTCAACATTTAGAGAGGCCCTTAGCTTTGGCAACTTACTGAGGCCCTGTGTCAAAAAAACAAAGTTGAGGATGTAGTTCAGTGGTATAGTGCCTCTTGGTTCAAGCCCCAGTACTGGGAAAAAAATATATAATATATGTGTGTGTATTTATTCATGTTGTGAATGTTTATCCTTAGTAAAACATTTGTAAGAAATATATTTAAATTATTATTTTAAAATATATATGTAGCTGAGTGGGGTAGCTCATACCTATAATCCCAGCAATTTAGGAGGCTGAGGCAGGAAGATCACAAGTTTGAGGCCAGCCTCAGCAATTTAGTAAGGCCCTAAGAAACTTAGAAAGACCCTGTCTCAAAATAAAAACAAAAAGGCTGGGCATGGTGGTGCACACCTGTAATCCCAGCAATTCAGGAAGCTGAGGTGGGAGATTAGCAAGTTTGAGGTCCTAAGCAACTTAATGAGAACCTATCCCCAAAAATAAAAAGAGCTGGGATGTAGCTCAGTGGTAAAGAGCCCTTGAACTAAAACCCCAGTACCAAATAAGTAAATAGATAATTAAATAAGTAACATTTTTTAAAAGAGTAAAAAATTTAAAAGACCAAGGATGTAGCTCAGTGGTGAAGCACCCCTGGCTTCAATCTCCACTACTAAAACAAAAACAAAATACACCAGCCAGACACAATGCCACATATAACTCAGAAGGCTGAGGCAAGTTTAAGGCCAGCCTCAACAATTTAGGGTTGGTGATGTAGCTCAGTGGTTAAGTGCCCCTGGATTCAATCCCCAGTACAAAACCAAAACAACAACAACAAAGCAAATATAACATAGTAATGACTTTTGGTTTCAATGTTTTTAAACTGACATTGAGATTCTTGGCTATTTCAAAAGGTTATTATTTTTTTAGAGTGGTACATCTGGAATATTATGTAGTTTCCAGAATAATATGCATTTTATCTATAATTGAAGGATTGATCCCTGGTTTTTTTTCCCCCCAAAAGATGATTAAGATTGAAGATTGAAGAATAACCTCACAATCTAGGTTAAACCAGTAGTTCTTCCAAAATTGTATCTGTTCTAGTCATAACAGCTCTCATTTTCTCTGCCATCCTCAGAGACTAAGGACATAGTCTTAAAAATCCCATTCTCTTGGTCTAGTTCCTAAGTCTATACCATTCTTGGTCTAATTCCTATATCATTAATGTTGTGTATGACTTATGAGACATAACTCCATTAATATTAGTTATTAAACTCTGTACTCAAGAAATAACACAAAATTTACATTATTAGTTTGTGATGCTGGTTAGAGAGAAGTCTTTGTTTCCATTTTACATTGTTCTAGGTTTTTTTTTTCATATGAGCAAATAGAATTAGAAATAATGAACTCCCAGTTATCTACATAAGGAATGGATATGTTACAAGTAATTCAAAACAAGAAAGTTTGTTTGTTTTTGCAGTACTGGGAATTTGAACCCAGGGGCACTCTACCACTGAGCTACATCTCTACCCCATATTTTTTTATTTTGAAACAAAGTCTCACTGAATTGCCCAAACTGGCCTTGAACTTTTGATCTTCCTCCCTCAGCCTCCTGAATCGCTGGTATTATAGGTGTGTGCCAACAGGTTCCTGGTTAATTTAAGTTTGTTTTTTTTTAACTTTATTTTTTCTTAACCATTTTACACATGAATTTACAATAGTTGATAAGGTTAAGACTAGACTAATTTTAGACTTTTTAGTCTTATACAACTTTTTTGGAATTCACCTGTTGTACAAAGCATGGAATGTTTATGCTACTTTTAATTGCCTCTGATACAGCAGAACAAATTGGCTCATGGTGTAGTAATTGTATTTTTCTCTTATACTTTTAAATCTTAGGCAAGAGACAGAATAGAAGAATTTTTTCGGAGCCAAGCGTATACTTTCTATCATCGCCTTAATAACACTGTACCAGCTATGCATTTTGTGGACCACAGTTTTCAAGTAGTACGTATGGATAGCTGTCGACCAGGCTTTGGAAAAGATGAAGGTCTACACAGCAATTGTGCTAGTTGTTGTGGTAATTATAAAATATAAATATCTACATATCTAGGTTATATAGTCAGAAGAATAGATAAATAATTATATTAGGATAATTTATTTGAATCTTTTTTTGTACCAGGATTGAACCCAAGAGTGCTTTACCACTGAGCCACATCTCCAGCCCTCTTTGTTATTTTGAGACAGGGTTTCACTAAGTTGCTTAAAGCCTTGACGAATTGCTGAGGCTGACCTCAAACTTGTGAGCTTCCTGCCTCAGCCTCCAGAGTCGCTGGAATTACAGGTGTGGGCCTGATATATACAGCTGATTTGAATCTACACCGATTCTCTTTCAGAAACATATTTACCAAAAGGGAAGTAAAAAGTCAAGGCCCAAATTTTCTAAATACAATTATATTAATGTATATTAATTCTTCCTAATATACTCTTGTATTACAAAACATTTCTATAGTGTTGATTTAAGATACTGTACTATGAAAGAAAACCACATGGTTTTGCCTAGAAAACATAGAAATAGGAAATAGGAATAGAAAACTGGAAAAAGGAACTCATAGATGGGGCACTGCAGAAGATACTGTAAAATGCCAGTACTAAAAGAAAAAATAGGGTTCTTTTTCTTAAATCTTTAAGATTGTCATATTGGGCTGGGGTTGTGCTCAATGGTAGAGCGCTTGCCCAACATGTGGGAGGCTCTGGGTTCGATCCTCAGCACCACATAAAAATAAATAAGTAAAATAAAGGCATTGTGTCCAACTACAACTAAAAAATAAATAAACAAAAGATCATATTACAATTTAATTGGCTGAACAAGTGTATTATAGATATAGAAATGGTATGATATTGAAGGCAGATTTATATTATTGATATAAAATATCTGTAAATTATAATGCTCTCTTCCATGTGTTTTCTTTTGCAGTGGTTTGTAGCCCTGGGACTTTCAGTCCTGATGTTGATGTTTCTTGTCAGATATGTGCTTCTACCCAGGTATATGGAGCTAAGTCTTGCCCAGAAACTTCAAACAAAAACCAGCCAGGCGATGACTAGAGGTGGAAGCTTTGTTACTTGCTTGCAGAAGTAGGGGACATAAGATGATTTGTTCACATCACAGAGCATCATAGATAGCTCTATGAAATAAGATCAGTAAGACCAAAACATTGGATAACATACATTGTAGAAACAAAAAAATAATAATTGGCATGGCATTTCTAAGAAATCATTTAATCCAGTATCTCCAGTGTACAAAGGACAGTTCAAGTATTAGTGGATGATTTTTAATGAAATATGTTTTGTTGTTTACAAACAATCTGTTGCTCTGTACCTAAGAATATATTGAGGTCAAGAAGAGTAGCAAAGTATAACATAATAAAATTTTTATATTGTCTGTATATTAATTTGTTTGAAATCACTCTTATGTAAAGGCATGTATATAACCTTTGTAATTAGAACCAAAATATTACTTATTTTAGTCATTTTGCTTTTATTTTATAATTAATAGACTTAATTTTTTAGTATAGGCTTTGATTTACAGAATAATTGAGCATAGAGTTTCTTATTACCATTTACCAGAATAATTGAGCAGGAATTCCTTATTACCATCCCACATCCTCCTCCTTCCTCACACAGTTTCATCTGTTATCAACATACTGCATTTATGTATCAAATTTGTTGCAATGGATGAACCAATATTAATACATTATTATTAACTGTAGTCAGTGGTTTACATTAAAGTATCAATATTTGTGTTGTAGGTTTTCCCAAATGCATAATTAGGTATTCACCATTACAGTATTCATACAGAATACTTTCACCATCCTTAAAATTCACTATGCTTTACCCTTTCTCCCTGAGTCCTTGGCAACCTTTGATCCTCTTACTGTCTCTATAGTTTTGCCTTTTCCAAAATGTCACATAGTGTGTCGACTTTTCATATTGACTTCTAATCAGTAAGCAGTATGCAGTTAAGGATTCCCCCATGTCTTTTCATGACTTGAAAGCTCCTTTTATTGCTGAATAATATTCTACTGTACTGTATGGGATATATCATAGTGTGTTTATCCAGTCACCCATGAAGGAAATCTTGGCTGCTTCCAGTTTTTGGTAACTATAAATAAAGCTATTATAAACATTTGTGTGCAGGTTTTCGTTTGGACATACATTTCAACAACTGGGTTAATACCTAGGAGTATGATTACTGGCTTATATATGACTGTGTTTAGTTTTGTAAGAAACTGCCAAACTGTCTCCCAAAGTAATTTATCATTTTGTATTCCCACCAGCAATGAATAAGTATCCCTGTCATTCCTCCTCCCTAGAAGCATTTGGTATTGTTAGTTTTTTGGATTTTGGACATTCTAATAATGGGTAGAGTGGTATTTCATTGTTGGTTTAATTTCCATATTCCCTGATGATATCTGATGTTTAGCATCTTTTCATATGGTTATCTGCCCTCTGAATATCTTCTTTAGTTAAGTGTCTATTTAGATTTTTTGTCCATTTTTAGTTGGGTAGTTGTTAATCCTCTTTTTTTTTTGAGTTCTAAGAGTTCTTTGTACATTTTGGATACAAGCTTTACTGTATTAGATATATGTTTACAAAGATTTTCTCCCATTCTGTGGCCTCTTTGTCCTTTTAATGGTGTCTTTCACAGAACAAAAGTTTTTATTTTTATTTTTGTTTTTTAGTTGTAGATGGACACTATATTTTATTTATTTATTTATTTTTATGTGGTGCTGAGGATTGAACCCAGTGCTCACATGTGCTAGGTGAGCGCTCTACACTGAGCTACAACCCCAGGCCTAGAACAAAAGTTGTTTTTGTTGTTGTAGTTTTTTAGTTGTAGTTGGACACAATATCTTTATTTTATTTATTTATTTTTATGTGGTGTTTATTTATTTTTATGTGGTGCTGAGGATTGAACCCAGCGCCTCGCACATGCAAGGTAAGCACTCTATCGCTGAGCCCCAGCCTCAGCCCTTGGAACAAAAGGGTTTTTTTGCTGTTTTTTGTTTTTAATATTTATTTATTAGTAATAGGTGGACACAATCTCTTTATTTTCATAGGATGCTAAGGATCGAACCCAGTGCCTCTCGCACGCTAGGCGAGCACTACCTCTGAGCCACAACCCCAGGCCACAAAGTTTTCAATAAAACTTTTAATTGCTACTTTTTTCCAACATGAGTTGTACTTTTGGTGGTCATATCAGGAACTCATTCACAAAACTCAAAGTCACATAAATTTTCTATTATCTTCTAGAAGTTATAAAGTTTTGTATTTTTATGTATGTCTAAGATCCATTTTGAGTTGATTTTTGTGAATTATGTAATTTTTGTGTCTAGATTCATTTTTTGCGTATGGAAATCTACTTGTTTCAGCACTACTTGTTGAATACACTCTTTCCTTCCTCCACTGAATTGTCTTTGCTCCTTTGTCAAAAATCAGTTGCCTGGCTAGGTGGGGTGGTGCACACCTCTAATCCCAGCAGCTTGTGAGGCTGAGACAGGAAGATCTCAAGTTCAGAGCCAGCCTCAGTAAAAAGTGAGGTGCTAAGCAACCCAGTGAGATCTAGCCTCTAAAAAAATACAAAATAGGGCTGGGGATATGGTTCAGTGGTTGAGTGCTTCTGAGTTCAATCCCTGGTCCCCCCACCCCCCCAAAAAAAAGATCAGTTGCCTAAGCCAGGAGTGGTGGCACACTCCTATAATCCCAGCAATTTGAGAGGCTGAGGCAGGAAGATCACAAATTCAAGGTCAGCCTCAGAAATTTAGCAAGACCTTGTATCAAAATCAAAAATAAAATGGGCTAGAGATATATAGCTCAGTGGTAAAATGCCCCTTGGTTCAATTCCCAATACTGTAATAAAAATTATTTTGTACTTATGATCATGAGATATATTGCTCTGTTTCACTTCCTGTAATATCTTCCTCTGGGTTTAGTATTTAATGCTAGCCTCACTTTGCTTTTTGGAAAGATATTATAAAGAATAGTATCATTTCTCCCTTAAATGTTTGATGAAAATTCACCATTAGGGGGCTGGGGATGTGGCTCAAGCGGTAGCGCGCTCTCCTGGCATGCGTGCGGCCCGGGTTCGATCCTCAGCACCACATACAAAACAAAGATGTTGTGTCCGCCGAGAACTAAAAAATAAATATTAAAAATTCTCTCTCCCTCCCTCTCTCACTCTATCTTTAAAAAAAAAAAACGAAAATTCACCATTAAAACTATCCAGGCCCAGAAGGGATATATCTCAGTGGCAGAATTCTTGCCTAGCATGCCGTGAGTTCAGTCCGCACTATATCAAAAAGATAAACTGTCTGAGCCTGAATGTTTTCTGCCTTGGAAAGCTATGCATTCATTGCTGTAATTTCCCGTTAAGCACTGTATTTCCTGAATTCTACAAGTTTTTATAAGTTGTATTTTCATCTTAATTTGATTAAAATATTTCAAAATTTTTATTGAGATTTCTATGACCCAAGTGTTATTTAGAAGTGTATTGTATAATCTCCAAATATTTAAAAAATTTCAAGCTATATTTTTCTCACTGTTAGTTCAATGCCATTTGGTCTGGTAGCAATTTTATATGATTTCTATTCTTCTAAATTTTTTCAGAATTTATGTTCCAGAATATGGTCTGTCTTGGCAAATGATCTGTGTGAGCTGGAGGGGAATGTGTACTTTGCTGTTGTTGGATGGATATTTGTAAATGTAAATTAGTTTCAGTTGATGGATGATGCCGTTCAGTTCAGCTGTATCCTTACTGATTTTCACCTGCTGGATCTGTCCACTACTAATAGACAAGTGTTGACATCTCCAAGTATAGTGGTGAATTCATCTATTTCTCTTTACAGTTCTGTTCCTCTTTGCCTCAACAAATTTTTCTTTCTGGGGTACTGGGGATTGAACTCAGGGGCACTCAATCACTGAGCCACATCCTCAGCCCTCTTTTGTGTTTTATTTATTAGAGACAGGGTCTCACTGAGTTACTTAATGCCCTGCTTTTGCTGAGGCTGGCTTTGAACTCATGATCCTCTTGCCTCAGCCTCCCGAGCTGCTGGGATTATAGGTGTTTGTCACCGTGCCTGGCTGCCTCACAAATTTTGACATTGTTGATAGGTGTCTACACATTAAAAATTCTTTCACCTTCTTGGAGTATTGATCTCTTCCTTTATCATTGTATAATACTCCTCATTATCCTTGATGATTTTCCCAGTTCAAGAGTATTCTTTGTTTAAAATTAATGTAGCTACTGCATCTTTCCTTCGTCTATTGTTAGCATGGTACATCTTTTTCTGTCCTTTAGTTTTACAGAAAATGATACCCAGATGCTGCAAAATCTGCTGTTCTGAATGACATAACTGTAACGGATTGCTAATTAATAATGATAAATATGTTTGAATACTTTCTCCACCAAGTACTGGGGACTAAATTTTACCAGTACTGTTTTTGTGTCCTGCAGTGGTTTTCCGATTATGTTATATATTTACATTTTTGCTGCTTAGACAGTTTATTCTAGCTTAGAGATGTTTTCTACTTCTATGGGGTGTTAATGCTGCTTTTATGCATAATTTCTTTCTTTTTAATATTTATTAGTTTTTTTTAGGTGGATACAATATCTTTATTTTATTTTTATGTGGTGCTGAGAATCGAACCCAGTGCCTCACGTATGCCAGGTGAGCACACTACCACTTGAGCCACATCCCCAGCCCAGATGCATAATTTCAAATTCACTGAGGAAAGCCTTTTCTTTTGAAGAGATGTATATATGATTTCAAGATGGTCATGGCTTTCTTAATTCTAGGCAAATGAATTCCAGTCATTTGGGGTCATGATATATACTCAATGAGGTTTTTAAAAATGCAATTGAAGGGGCTGGTGTTGTGGCTCAGAGGTAGAGCACTCGCCTAGCATTCATGAGGCACTGGGTTCAATCCTAGCACCACATAAAAATAAAATAAAGATGTTATATCCACTTATAACTAAGAAAGAATATTTTTTGAAAATGCAGTATCAACTATTTGAGATCGTTCTGTTGACTAATTAGCATTTCA